TCCCAAAGACGTTCAGTTGTGAGGAATTTGAGCATTTGGGTTTTGAATCATTGCACTACCAATTGATTCTCTTTCAATATTACATCATGACTGAATAGCATGCATTTCACTGATATGAAAACAGCATTCAGTTCTGAGTTCAGCCAAAATGTAATATAATTTTTTTTCCAGCGGAATCTTATGTCTGAGGCAATGTCACGTCGAATCAGGGGCTTGTTCAATGCTGTTAACTTCTGGCAAATTATTCTGTACAACGTCCTGGCACTGAACAGTCTGGACTTTGCTCAGCTGGTTGCTAAGAGACTGCTTCTTAAAGGTAAGTGTTTTGTTTCAAACCATTATATAATGAATACAGAAACAAAAGTAGCTAGAATCTTGTGCAGAATGTTTCTTACATACGCAATCTTTCTTACATATATAAGTCACTTATATATGATGTGTGTGTGTGTATATATATATATATATATATATATATATATATACATATATATATATACACAAACGTTTTTATGTAACGTCTTTTAAACATTAGAAACCACTAAAAAAAATAAATTACTAAATGCAGCATCCAAACATATTTCTTATTTTATTGTCCCTTCAGCTGTCCCTTTTTAATTGAATAATGTAGCTACCCTTTTCAAATAGGAATGACGTGAATTAATCTACACTGAAAAAGCAGCTTTGTCATTACAGCAGAAGAACGAGGAAAAAACATATTCGCCTAGAAGCGGACATGGAATATAGTAATGGGAGTTAAAAGGGCTGAGAACCACCGTTTTAGACTCGCAATATGTTGAAAAAACGTAAGAGACGCAAATGAAACAATAAGGGGCTATTAAAATCACGGCCTATCAATGGTCAGAAGTTATCACAGGAATAAATGCGTAAAGGCATCAGGACCATTAACGCGTGGAAGTTTGCCTTATTAAGAGCCACGATTACTTTTCAATAGCTGCCTTTTGTCTCAATAATTGCATGTTTATCGCATGATTAAAACGGGAACAAGGTGCTTAAAACTAAAACTATGCGGAAATTATTTTAACTTTGTTAGAAGCCGACTTACAACAGATGCATATTTATGATGTGTGTGTGTGTATATATATATATATATATATATATATATATATTCATACATACATATACACAAAATTATTGAAATATTAATTTGTATCAGCACAAAAACTCCATAGTAATAGCACCCTTGTGATTCCTTCAGGCTTCCCCTTGTCCACTCTCTCGGTGCTGTTTGTGACTTACTGTGGCGTTCAGCTGATAAAGGAGAGAGAGAGAAGGCAAGCTCTGCTGGATGATCTGGAACCAGTGCCGCCCCCAGAGGAGAGCAAACAGAAGGCCGAGTAAAGGACAGAGAGGTCATTGAATCTGATCCAGCTCTTGAGGTCCCTCTTGTTAATTCTGCCCCTGAGCTTTCATGCCAGATTGATGCAGTCCCATCACTATGGTCACTGCTTGCACAAGTCTGTTTTAAAAACACAAGATGTTTTTAACTGTGAATAGTTCTGAAGTGCACTTGCTTTAGCCAAATGCAACCTGTTCTCTGACATACTCTTGCACAAACAAACCAACAAGTGCATTTTTTATTTATATTTTCAGTGGATATAGCTATTGAAAGGATGGGCTTGCCAAATATTTTATGAATAAATAATATATTGAACAATAAAATGAAAATGTACAATGTTTTCAGGGTTGTCTTTTATTTCAGTCCTTCTCAATATTCTTAATATGTTTACAGCAGTGTTTTAGTTTAGTTATTTTTTAGTTTTTATTCATTTCAATTTTAGTTATTTTAGTACATTAGTTTAGACAATAAAAATGAGAAATGTTTCCTCGGCAACTAGTTGAAATAAAGTTTCTTAAATAGTTTTTTGTATTTCATTTAATGTTTATTTTTATTTCAAGTAACAACTTTTTTATGGTTTTAATTTCAGTTTTAGTTAACTATGATAGCGCTGGTTTACAGCCATTATTATGACGCAAAACGTTAGGTACGTACAAAATGTTAGGACCAACATGTTAAACAAACTTTTATTTTACATAGTTCTGAACTGCTTATAAACAATAGTCACAATGATGTCCCATTAAACCACACAAAGCTTAGTCACTTCACCACATTAAGCTTTGTGCAGTCACATTTTTCTGTTACTCATGTCACACTAGCAGATATGGTGTGAACACATTCCCCTATTAGGCTTTGTCCTACATCTAGCTTTGAGTGGCACACAAGAGATTTGAGTTGATTAATGGGCTTAAAATATACACTGATGAATACTGTAGGTCTGCTATGCTGTTATCAGCACACAATTGCATATCTCCTAGTTTTCAGTCTCCCTTTGGAGTTTTTGTCACCTTACATGGGTTTTTAGCGCAAATTAGACTTTTCTTTTGTCTTCATATACTCTAAAAATAGATTTTTTTTTTTAGACCATTATATAATGAAAACGGAAATAAAAGTAGCTAGAATCTTGTGCAGAATGTGTTTCTTACATATGTATTCTTTCTTACATATGTAAATCACTCATATATGATGTATATATACATCATACATATGAAAATATTGAAACATATAGTTGTATCAGCACAAAAACTCCAGAGGAATGGGGCAAACACAGCATGTACACAGAGAATAATAGCACCCTTGTGATTCCCTCAGGCTTCCCCTTGTCCACTCTCTCGGTGCTGTTTGTGACTTACTGTGGCGTTCAGCTGATAAAGGAGAGAGAGAGAAGGCAAGCTCTGCTGGATGATCTGGAACCAGTGCCGCCCCCAGAGGAGAGCAAACAGAAGGCCGAGTAAAGGACAGAGAGGTCATTGAATCTGATCCAGCTCTTGAGGTCCCTCTTGTTAATTCTGCCCCTGAGCTTTCATGCCAGATTGATGCAGTCCCATCACTATGGTCACTGCTTGCACAAGTCTGTTTTAAAAACACAAGATGTTTTTAACTGTGAATAGTTCTGAAGTGCACTTGCTTTAGCCAAATGCAACCTGTTCTCTGACATACTCTTGCACAAACAAACCAACAAGTGCATTTTTTATTTATATTTTCAGTGGATATAGCTATTGAAAGGATGGGCTTGCCAAATATTTTATGAATAAATAATATATTGAACAATAAAATGAAAATGTACAATGTTTTCAGGGTTGTCTTTTATTTCAGTCCTTCTCAATATTCTTAATATGTTTACAGCAGTGTTTTAGTTTAGTTATTTTTTAGTTTTTATTCATTTCAATTTTAGTTATTTTAGTACATTAGTTTAGACAATAAAAATGAGAAATGTTTCCTCGGCAACTAGTTGAAATAAAGTTTCTTAAATAGTTTTTTGTATTTCATTTAATGTTTATTTTTATTTCAAGTAACAACTTTTTTATGGTTTTAATTTCAGTTTTAGTTAACTATGATAGCGCTGGTTTACAGCCATTATTATGACGCAAAACGTTAGGTACGTACAAAATGTTAGGACCAACATGTTAAACAAACTTTTATTTTACATAGTTCTGAACTGCTTATAAACAATAGTCACAATGATGTCCCATTAAACCACACAAAGCTTAGTCACTTCACCACATTAAGCTTTGTGCAGTCACATTTTTCTGTTACTCATGTCACACTAGCAGATATGGTGTGAACACATTCCCCTATTAGGCTTTGTCCTACATCTAGCTTTGAGTGGCACACAAGAGATTTGAGTTGATTAATGGGCTTAAAATATACACTGATGAATACTGTAGGTCTGCTATGCTGTTATCAGCACACAATTGCATATCTCCTAGTTTTCAGTCTCCCTTTGGAGTTTTTGTCACCTTACATGGGTTTTTAGCGCAAATTAGACTTTTCTTTTGTCTTCATATACTCTAAAAATAGATTTTTTTTTTTGCCTTATGGTTCCACTAAGAAACTATTATCCATGGAACCTTTCCATCACACACAAGGTTGAAAAAGATTCTTCAGATTATTAACATGTTCTTTAGACCAAGAAAAGAATGGTTCTTTTAAGAACTGTTCACTGAAATGTTCTTTGGGGAATTCAAAAAGATTTTTCTATGTCATCACTACAAAAACTTAGCTTTTGAAACCTTTTTAGGAGTGTACCTTTAGAAAGTTTTATAACTTTAAATTGGAATAATTTTATTAAATACCTACTTACAGAAAATGCATAAACATAGATCTGTTTGTGATTAATTGGTTCAGGGTGAAAATGTAAACAAGCTATAGCCTAGTGATTTGCACATATTCAGACATATTATGGGTCTCAAGTGAGGGATGCAAGTTTTCCATTCCTGTTCTCCCTGCCATGTGCAGCCCTCCCCAAATGAAAAAAAGTAATGAATTCTATTAGAACTGTAACAAATAAAGCACTATTACGCCCATAGTGCCCAGGTTTGAGTCTAGCCTGGGACATGTCCTGTTCACCCGTCTCTCCCTGTGCTTTCCTGTAAAAAATAAATAAATTGTAAATTCAAAGGTTGCCAGTGCCACTGCTTGCGCCTATGATTTGATGCTAAGAGATGTAGGAGCCCATAATACTGGGTAGCTCCACTAGGTGGACATTATCTCCCAAAGCAACAAGCAGTTCTATTTCTGTTTGTTTCATTTTGAAATTAGTCTTAAATGGGTCTGATTTCCATCTTTTCTTTCTCTCTGTAACATTCTTTTCAAGTTATTCACATTTCCCAACCATCTTGTGGTGCTCGACTGTCCTTCTCCATAAGATCTAAAACTTAATAGTCCCAGTGAGCAACATGTCAGCTGTTGGCCTGATCTGTTTGGTGGGGGGAAGGTAGGGACAGCTTGTATTTCAGGCCCTAAGTGTGGTTCATTTGTGCATTTCTATATATAGATGGACAGTCAGTAGCTAATAGCTTGTGACAGCTGAGGAGCTGAGGCCACACCAAAGCGTCATATCCTCCACCATTTCTCTATTAGAGTAACAGTGTTAATAGAGTCAGTTCAGTTCTGCAGTGGGACAGGACCAGGGCACCCCTCCCTCCTACTGAAATATCACATTAAACCATAACAAGATGGCCTCCTTGTCAGTGGATCCAGTGACGGAGCCACGGATGTACCAGCAAACGCTCCTACAAGATGGGCTCTGCGATCTCCTGGATGCTAACAAGTTTGTGGACTGTGTTCTGAAGATCAAAGACAAAGAGTTTCCTTGTCATCGGCTAGTGCTAGCCGCTAGCAGCCCTTACTTCAAAGCCATGTTCCTTTCGGACCTGGAAGAGAGCAAAAAGCGGGAGATTGTACTAAAAGACATCGAACCTGGGGTCATGGGAATGATCCTGAGGTACATATACACCTCGGATATCAACCTGACTGAGCATAACGTCCAAGACATTTTCATGGTGGCCAACATGTACCAGATTCCATCAATCTTCAGCATGTGTGTGTCATATCTGCAGCAGAAGCTGGTTCTCAGTAACTGTCTGGCCATCTTTAGATTGGGACTGTTGCTGGATTGTCCGCGTTTGGCTATGGAGGCGCGGGACTTCATCTGTGACCGGTATGCCCTCATCACTCGGGACCAGGACATCCATCAGTTGGGTCCCGGTGAGCTGGCTGCAATCATCACATGTGACTCCCTGAATGTGGAACGAGAAGAGTTGGTGTTTGAATCTCTCATGGAGTGGGTGGAGTATGACACGAGTGAGAGATTGAAGGACCTGCCACAACTTCTACACTGCGTACGTTTCCGTCTTATACCGACGAGTTACTTTAAAGAGAAAGTCGAGGGGCACCGATTGATCAGGACGAATCAGGAGCTCAAGAAGGAGCTTCAGATTGTCAAGGATGCACAGAAAGGACTGCTACACAGGGTCAAAAGGGTCAAGAAGGAAGGCGAGACGGCGGATTCTGAGCATGAGGATGAGGAGGGTTTGCTGCCAGGGATCCTAAATGACAATCCACGTTTTGGAATGTTTCAAACAGATCTTATATTGATGATTAGCGATACAGGAACGGTAGCATACGATGTTGGCGCAAACGAGTGCTATGTGGCGTCTTCATCCACTGAGATCCCTAAAAACCACTGCAGTCTTGTCACGAAGGAAAATCAGATCTTTGTCGCTGGAGGTCTGATGTTCAATGAGGAGAACAAAGAACAGCAGTTCAGCTCGTACTTTCTTCAGGTAACGCATAGTCAATTCTTGCTAAATATGTTTGCATTACAAATCAATGACTCAAAGCATCATGAATCTCTGGTTCCAAAAATACATTTGTGAGAATGACCCTCAGGGTCCATTTAGCTTCAGAAGAGCTGATAAAGCTTTGAACCTCATGTGTCATGTTTTTAATGTTGCCTGCATGACATTTTCCTCGTGTAATTCAAGTGAAACCTTGGAAGGGATTGTGTCGAAGGAATCAAATTATTGTATTTGTCTGAGAAAGGAACAATGCTTTTGGACCGTTATCTTTTCATCTGAGCTCTGCTTCATCCAACAGTTTGATCCCATGAGCTCTGAATGGTTGGGGATGCCCTCACTACCAGACCCTCGCTGTCTGTTTGGTCTGGCTGAGGCTGAGAACTCCATCTATGTGATGGGAGGAAAAGAGCTGAAGGAGGGAGAACGTGCACTCGATTCTGTTATAGTCTACGACAGACAGTGAGTACAATCATATAGCACAGGGGTGCCCAAACTCGGTCCTGAAGGTCCGGTGTTCTGCAGAGTTTAACTCCAACTTGCCTCAACACACCTGCTGGTAAGTTTCTAGTATGCCTATAAGAGCTTGATTAGCTGGTGCAGGTGTGTTTAATTGGGGTTGGAGCTAAACTCTGCAGGACACTGGCCCTCCAGGACCGAGTTTGGGCATCCCTGATATAGCATATGACATACATTCACAGAGCTTGTTCAAACTGAAAAATGTTGGTGCGTTCATGCATGTCATGAATTCTCGGTTAACAAATTTGGTGCCATTAGTTTTATTTACAATTTTTTAACATGATGCACTATAAATGTGTTACAGATCACAGCTGTGTTTTCATTACGTAGTTTAGTGCGACCTGTGTAGTCTGATTCACGAACAAATGACTCTTATGAGTCTGTTCATTTAATGAATCGTTAGAAAGGTTTTACTCAATCAGCCTGAGTACGAAAGCTTGGGCAGCTGACTTGTTGCTTCACTGCCCTATCAGGCAATGACTTCACAGAAATCTGAGGCACTATAACGAACACGATTCCATGACATTTGAGCTAAAAAATAAAATGCCATCTGAAAGTTGCAGTTGGTGGTCAGATTGTGGGATATCACAGGCAGTGAAGAATACATCTATGTCTTCTATCTACTGTATGTCTTCAAACATCAATCAGATGAATGTATCTCAGTAGACAGGATGTGACAGTCATAGAAGTCAGATGTGCCTTGGTGCCTTCCTCCCTCCGTATGCTGCCTGCGGAGACCTGCATTTAGCTTTTGGACATAGTCAAGAGTTACTGAATTAAATCAATCCAACAAATCCTCAACTGTGAATGAACTAAGCGAATTGGCCAGAGCCACTACTGAATCAACATTTGACTTACTTTACTGAACTAATGTTCCATATCAATAAATAATGACTTCAATACAGCCATTAGGCAGATCAATTTTACTTGATGGGCCACTTTAAAAAAAATATGTGTTATCTGTTTAATATGTATACCTCACAATCATGTCTTTCATAATTTTTATATCTCACCGTAAGCCTTATGGTGTGAAATTGATAAGCAACTTAAATAGAACAATTTGTTTCCCTCTCGTATTTCACTCTTTTTGGTAGATATTGAGATTGGTCGGTCCTAGCCAGAATCCCTGATCAATTGGATGTTGTCTGAAATGGCTGAATGCTGATAATTATACATTTTCACACAGGTCATTCAAATGGAGAGATTCGGACCCTCTTCCATATGCAATTTATGGACATGGAATTATTTCACACAAAGGACTGGTCTATGTGATAGGTGGAAAAACTGAGAGCAAGTGAGTGCAGAACCTGATTTTATCCTAGTTTACAAACACATTATGCCAGGTTGTCTTTGGTTTTCATAACCAGGCTTAAATTAAATGTGATGCATAGGAAATGCCTGAGGAGAGTATGTGTCTATGACCCCTCTAAGTTTGAATGGAAGGATCTGGCACCCATGAAAACTGCCCGTTCGCTGTTCGGCACAGCTGTTCACAAAAACAAAATCTATGTGGTGACTGGAGTCATTGATTACGGCCTGACTAACAGTGTGGAGGTCTATGACATCGCCAGCAACACGCAAGTCACACTGTTTTGTCATATTTTCTCAAGACTCCTCAACTCAGGTAAGATGCTCAGTTGTTTGTCTCCTGCTTAGCTGGTCAGAGTTCGTGGAGTTTCCCCAGCAGAGAAGCTCTCTTAACCTGATTGAACTGGGCGGCTGCTTGTACGCTGTGGGGGGTTTTGCTATGATGCCCAATGAGACCACAGAAAAACTGGAGCCCACTGAAATGAACGACATATGGAAGTAAGTATTAATGTTCAGCTCAAACTGGTTTAAAGAGCAGGTCATATGGTATTTTAAAGTGTCCTAATATTGTGTTGGAGTCCTCTACAACAGGTTTAAATGCATCTAAGGTCAGAAAACAGTGGGTTCACAGCGAATTATCATTTCAATAACAGTAATATTGTGCTTTACCTGGAAACCTAAAGCTGCACTAGGTAACGTTATACATCACATATTAGCAGAAAATCTTGATATTTTGAGCACTCAATTGAAAATGTACACATAACGTATCAATCCTACTTACACAGGTTGTGGTTCAGAGCTTGTTAGTCCAAATTAAGAAGATTAGAAGCCAAGGAAGATAAAAGCCAATTAGAAGCAGTCCTTGGTAAAATGCACACAACAAAAGGTTCAAATTGTATTTCTGTGGTATCCTTGAACACAGTGTCTTCTCAACATGATGTAAACACACTAACTAGCGGAAGTGTTTGTGGGCAGGTCAGACTCTGTTCGTATTTCGCGGGCAGGCGGGGATTATGCAAATGTGTTACCCAGTGACGTATACCGGTAACAGGCAAAAGATTCGAAAATATGACGTCGCGAGGAAACCGCTTTCAAGGCGTGAATAACAACGTATGATAATCCCACAGAAACGTTTTAATTCAGTTGCGTCTTCTCAACATGATGTAAACACACTAACTAGCTGAAGTGTTTGTGGGCAGGTCAGACTCTGTTGGTATTTCGCGGGCAGGCAGGGATTATGCAAATGTGTTACCCAGTGACGTATACCGGTAACAGGCAAAAGATTCGAAAATATGACGTCGCGAGGAAACCGCTTTCAAGGCGTGAATAACAACGTATGATAATCCCACAGAAACGTTTTAATTCAGTTGCTTTAACCGTGTGTGATCATGACCGAGTACTCACACGTCAAGTCCACCAAGCTGGTCCTGAAAGGATTAAACGATAACAAAAAGAAGAAAAAGAACAAGGACAAAAAGAGAAAACGAGATGATGAAGACAAGCTGGATATCGTTGGAGGATGGTGGACAGTGAAGGGTTTCGGTGAGATCACTGGTACAGTGGCCATTGAGATGCACAAAAAGTCCTTCATTCATGCACTGGACACTGGACTCTTCACTGTAGGAGCTCCACATAAAGACGATGAAGGCCCAGATCCTCCAGAGCAGTTCACTGCCATCAGAGTCTCAGACTCCAGGATAGCGCTGAAGTCAGGCAATGGGAAGTATTTAGGTATAAACTCAGAGGGTGTTGTGGTTGGTCGATCAGATGCCATCGGCTCCAGAGAGCAGTGGGAACCAGTGTTTCAGGATGGTAAAATGGCCTTACTTGCTGCAAACAGTTGTTTCATCTCGTACAGTGAGAGCGGAGACATAGTGGCCAAAAACAAGACAGCGGGAGAGGAGGAGATAATCAAGATCCGTTCATGCACAGAAAGAGAGGTGAAGAGAAAAGACGATATTGCAGATGAAGACAGGTGTGATGTCAAGAACTGTGAGTTCAACTACGTGAAGAAGTTCCAGAGTTTTCAGGATCGGAAGCTGAGGGTGAATGAGGAAGACAGCGGTACGCTGAAAAAAGCCAGAACAGAAGGAAAATTCCATGAGGCCCTGCTGGACAGGAGAGCCAAGATGAAGGCTGACAGATACTGCAAGTGAAACCAGAAGCGTTTTTTTCCTTCCTCACCATTATAATTTGACATAGTCATGGAAAATCTTTTGTTGTTGTTGTTTTTAAATAGCCTATCAATTATATTGTTAGTTACAGTAATTTGTTAAATTACAGTCATTTAATATTGGATTGTACATTTGATTGATTTCCCAAATTAAATGGATTGTAAACTCAAAAACAAAATAAAAAATATGACGTCTCGTTAAGGGGATTCAGAATCGACTCTCTCTTTTGAAAGAAAATATATTTATTTATCATGCACTTTTTTGTTTTGTTTTGATTGTTTTCATTTAAGGATAGCTACGTTATAAACTGCAAAAGAGATATTTTTCAAAAACCCATATGACCTGCTCTTTAATGAACTTATTGAGCTAAGGAAACTTGGTCATACAGTGGCTATAGAAGAAGAAAAAAAATCACCCCCTTTAAAATAATCACATTTTGTTGCTTTGCAGCCTGAAATGAAGACGGACACTGTTTTTGTTTCATCAAGCTGTATTTACTCTGTGCAATTTATAACATCCAAGTGGAAGATACAACACTAACATGGCAGAAAAAAAAAATGAATAAAACAGAATCACTGAGTTGGAAAAAGGATCACCCCCTTGTGTCAGTATTTTGTTGAACCACGTTTTGCTTTAATTACAGCCTTTAGTCGTCTCTACTAACTTTGCACATCTAGACTTTGCAATATTTGCCCACTCTTCTTTGCAGAACTGCTCAAGTTCGGTTAAATATTATGGTGAAAATTTGTGGACTGCAGTCTTCAGAGAAACACCCCCATAACAGGATATTACCAGCTCCATGCTTTAGTGTAAGAATGCTGTTATTTGAATGCTGAGCTGTATTGGATTTCCGCTAGACAATGTTTGGTGTGGAGGACAAATAATTCAATTTTAATCTCATCTGCCTCAGAATCTTCAAGAGCATTTTGTCAAAGCTCAGTCATGACTGCATGTGGCCTTTCTTGAGGAGTGGCTTTGTTCTTGCAACCGTCCCATACAAGCCACATTTGTGGAGAATTTGTTATATTGTTGTCACATGCACACAATCACCACTCTTTGTCATAAATTAGAGTTGAAAAAAAAAAAGAGTTGCTGACGGCCTCTTGGTCACATCTCTGACAAGTTTCCTCCTGGCTCTTTCATCCAGTTTAGAGCGACATCCTGATCCAGGGAAGGTCTGTGTTGTACCTTCCACTTCTTAATAATAGACTTCACTGTGCTTCTAGGCATTGATAAAGCCTTTGATATTTTTTTTGTATCCATCTCCTGACTTGTGCCTGTCCATAACTTTATCCCAGAGATCTTTTGACAGTGTCTTAAACCATAGCTGGTTGTTTGTTTCAGTTGCACTACCAAGGACTGAAAATGCTCCAGGAAAGCTCTTTTCATGATGAGCTAATCAAAATGACCACAGCTGATCACAGTTGAAAGTCAAATGGCTTTTTGTGCCACTGAGAAGGTGATTAGCTACACCTGATTGAGTTTACAAGTCATTTTTAGGAGGGGGGTGATCCTTCTTCCAACTCAGTGATTCTGTTTTTTTCTTTTCTTTTTCTGACAAGTTGGTGTTACATCTTTCACTTGGATGTTATAAGCTGCACTGAGTAAATACAGCCGGATAAAACAAAAACTGTGTCCGTCTTCATTTCAGGCTGCAAATCCTTTTTCCAACTCAGTCATTCTGTTTTTGTCTTTTCCTGACATATTGGTGTTATATCTTTCACTCATATGTTATACCGTACACAGTACACAGTAAATACAGCTGGATGAAACAAAAACTGTGTCTGTCTTCATTTCAGGCTACAAAGCAACAAAATGTGATTATTTTAAAAGGGGTGATTCTTTTCTATACCCACTGTATATTTCAAAATAAAGCTGAAAATTGAGATTTAAATTGTGATTTGCCTGACAGGTTTGAGGAGGAGGAGAACTGTTGGAATGGGATCCTGAGAGAGATCCGTTATGCTGCAGGGGCCACGGTGCTTGGAGTACGTCTGAACACCTTGAAACTCACAAAGATGTGATCTACAGCTATCTATTGACAAAATACAGAGTAAACAATGTCGCCCACATCTTCATAAAAGAGCAATACATATTCCATTGAATCAAAAAGAAAGTCACAGACTTGGCTTGCTTAAAGGGGTCATATGATGCGATTTCAAGTTTTCCTTTCTCTTTGGAGTGTTACAAGTTGTTCGTGAATAGATAAGATCCCTAAAGTTGCAAAGACTAAAGTCTCAAAACCAAAGAGATATCCTTTATCAAAGTTAAGACTCTGCCACGCCCCCCTAAAACGGCTCGTTCTAACACGCCCCCACATATCTACCTCAC